GAATAGCCGCTGGTGTCATGCCTTGACGAATTGTATGCAAACGTAACGTAGGGGAGCGTTGTGTCGCAGTCATGGTGGTCAGAAGAGACGTACATGGACAACATTTCTGAGGAGTTTGGTTGAGGCGCTCCGTGAGACCGTTGGTCTGCGGTTGGTAGGGAGTAGTAAGATGATGTTTGGTAGAGCAGCTACGGAGGATTTCGGTGATAACTTTTGCGAGGAAGCAGCGACAACGATCCCTCAGAAGCTAGCACGGAGCCCCATGCCTCAGAATGACATCATTCAGTAGAAAGTCTGCGACGTCTGTAGCGCAGCTACTTGGCAAGACACGAGTTATAGCGTATCTGGTTGCATAGTCAGTTGCGACAGCAATCTATTTGTTGCCTGACACGGAAGTCGGAAAAGGACTGAGCAAGTCGAGACCGACGCGGAAGAATGGTTTCGGGGGAATGTCGATAGGTTGCAGCAGGCCTACCGTACGGATAGCAGGACGTTTGCGACGCTGGGAGCTCTCGCAAGCAGCGACACAGTGGCGCACAAATTTAGACAGGCCAGGCCAAAAGAACCGTTGTCGCACGCGGTGATAGGTGCGTGAAACCCCAGGTGTCCTCCCGTCAGAGCATCATGCAGATGTTGAAGAATGGTCGCACGCAGGTGTCGAGGAATAACTAGCAATAATTCCGGGCCATCAGGCTTCATGTTGCGGCAATACAGAATTTCGTTGCGAAGCACGTATTGACGGAGCGAAAGGTTAGAATGTCCTGAAGATATTCGCTCAATGACTGTCTTGAGGGTTGCGTCCCGGCGCTGCTCTGTACCGATGACGCACAAACCAGATATGACGAGCACACAAGAATCGCTCTCATGGACAGCGAGGCTAGCAGGATCCAACAGATAGCGCGAGAGAGAATCGGCATCTTGGTGCAACTTGCCAGACTTATAAATTACGTCGAAGTTATACCCCTGAAGGCGTAGTGCCTAGCGACCTGGGCGATCAGTTGGGTTCTTGAGCGACGACAACCAACACAGAGCGTGGTGGTCCGTAATAACAGAAAACTCCCGGCCATACAAGTAGGGGCGAAATTGCACTATAGCCCAGACCAGTGCAAGACTTTCGCGCTTCGTTATCGAATAGTTTCGCTCAGATGTGGAGAAAAGGCGGCTGGCATATGCAATAACATGCGTTTGGCCTCCCTGGTGTTGAGCGAGAACGGCGCCGATGCCGTGAGCACTGGCGTCTGTGCAAACTTCAGTCGTCGTGGACGGGTCGAATTGAGCCAGTATTGGTAGTGAAGAGAGCAGGTCGATTAGCGTGGCAAACGCTGCTGCTTGGGCTTGGCCACACGAGCATGGCGCGTTCTTTTTGAGAAGATCAGTTAGTGGTCGTGCAATTGTAGCGAAATTGCGTATAAAACGTTGGAAGTACGAGCATAAGCCCACAAAACAACCAACATTTTTGTCGAAGAAGGCAGAGGAAAGTTCTTCACAGCGGTAATCTTGTCAGGGTCCGGTTGGACTCCAGACGCACTTACGCGATGACTAAGGACCTTGATTTCTTGTCAGCCGAAATTGCACATTTTGGAGTTCAGCTAGAGCCCCGCTCGACGAAAAACGGCTAGAATGGTCGACAAACAAGTTAGGTGGCTTTGAAACGATGGGGAAAAATTATCACATAGTTGAGGCAGCAAAGGCAGATTGACCATTTATAACCATGGAGGAGAGAGTACATCATGCGTTCCAACGTTGCCGGGGCGTTGCACAGCCCAAAAGGCATAACCTTGAACTGATAAAGACCATCTGGTGTGACTAAGGCAGTTTTTTCTCGGTCTAAGTCGTCGAGAGAAATTCGCCAATAGCCTGAACGCAGATCTATAGATGAAAGTTATCGCGCGCCATGATTGCAGTCAAGGGCGTCGTCGATTTGTGGCAGCGGATATACGTCTTTGCGGGTTATGTTGTTCAAGGAACTGTAGTCAACGCAAAATTTCCAACTGCCATCCTTCTTTTTGACTAAAACAACAGGTGACGTCCATGGACTTGAAGAGGCCTCTATGACTCCTTTGGAGAGCATCTTCTTGACTTCTCGTTGTATGACCTGGCGTTCGGACTGGGAAACACGATATGGTCACCGTCTAACAGGACTGGCATCGCCGGTATGTATTTGATGATGCACGATGAACGTTTGACCTAAAGAGCAGTCATCGATGTCAAAAATATCTCAATAGACGGTCAGAACATGTTGAAGTTGCGCAGTCTGACAGGGCAGAAGATCAGGGGCAATCATCATCGTGATTTCGTCGGTAGGTGCATTTGCTCGGCTGGAAGCAATTGGGGACGAGGAGTCCTCAGGGTCTAATGCCACGATGCTACATGCATCATGTGGTGAAACATGGGCTAACTAAATACATTGCGGGAGAATAGGCTCGAATTACTAAAGTTGAGAAGCGGAAGCTGAACGTAGTTGTCCACAATAGTCCCAAGGATATGCGGCATAGCAACACTTCGGGCCAAGAGTACATCCACTATATCCACTATGTAGTCACCGTCAGGAAGAGCTGGTGATACCGTTAAGGCCACAAACTTGGTGGCTAGCGGTGACAGGCGAACATAATCAACAACGCACAAGCGGTGCGACGGTGAGGACGGCACAGTTCCAAGTCGAGGCAGTTCAAAATGGAGAACGCCGGTTGCACAGTCGATAAGAGCGGCATGAGTGGACAAGAAATCCAATCCAAGAATCAGGTCATTCGGGCACTGATCAATAACTGAAAAGAGAACAGATGTGGTGTGATCGGCGATTGTGATGCATGCGGTGCACATTCCTCTGATGGCAAGACACGTATGATGACAGGAACAGCCGGTGTAAGCACTTTCTTCTGGTGGCGACGAAGTTGGCCACTCATCACCGAAATATGTGCCCCGGTGTCAATAAGTGCAGAAATAGTTAGCCCGGTAACGTTCACGTCGAACAAATTTCGTCGTGTCGGCAGTACGAGGAGAGGATTTGATGTCGGTTTCGAGGATGCATCTTCACCGCACAGAGCTGCACCGCTTAGTATCCCTAGTGGGAATTGAGCGAGGACGTCGGGCGTTGTCGTAGAGGAGAAGGGGATGCCGGGCGACGTCCAGGAAGCGAACGAGACTGATGACGTCGAGGCGACGGTGAGCGGCTGTGCTGCGTATCAGGGGCATCGAAGGCGTAGGGTGAAAGGCGGCGGTAGTTGTCGGCGATCGGCGCAGGGGGCTGGAAAAGGCGGTAGCTGTTCGCGCGACGAGCAGTGTTGTACTGAGTTCGGGACGAAGACCAATGGTTTTGGCAATACCGTGCGACATAACCTATGCGGCGGCAGTTAAAGCAGATCGGACGATATCCACAGTTCTCCATTCGGCCGGATCGTGAGAGTGTAGATAATACCATTCCTGGGGCGGTGACCTGGGACGAGGCGGCGAGCTTGAACGGAAGCTATTTTGTCGAGACTGAGCAACCACGCACACATCGAAGCCCAAATCGCTGAGTTCTTCCCGCACAATCGACTGTACCAAGCAAACCTGAACTACTTGCAAATCGATGTGGCCGTTGGCGGGAAGAGCAGGTGTGATTGCTGCGATTTCCCGCCGGACGATTCGCGTAATTTCACATACCGGTGAAGACTGTCGACGAGAGGTCAATCCATGTTGTTGTCTTTGTCGACTTTACGACGTAGAGCCAGCACGTCCTGTATGTACGAGATAGACGCCTCTGTGGATATCTGAGCGTGTATAGACAACTCCTAATTCGCAGCCACCTTTCGACCGATGGGCTCCCAAATAAGTCGCGAAGCTTCTCCTTGAAGGTGTCCCAACTGCCGATCTTCTCCTCATGTTTCTCGTACCAGACTTTGGCCGTGCCTTTTGAGGTGAAACAGCACGTTGGCTAGCATGAGAGTTGGGTCATATCGGTTGAGCGCACTGGTACGTTCGTAGGTGGCTATCCAGTCGTCGACATTAACTTCGTCCGTGCACTTTTAGGCAAAATTACCCGAAAAAGGAGTAAAGAAGCCCAATAGCAGCGCGCGATTTACGGATAGACCGTTGAGGAGCAACCACAGAGGGAGGCGTGGAGCGCGAAGCCAAGGGATGAACCGCCCGGGCATTGCAGGTAGCGCGAAAAGCGTTGCCAAGGTGACCAGGTCTCCCTCTTTTCCTCTGCTGGCTCAGTCTTCCCCTGTATTTTGCCGGCGACGGTCCGCGTCGCGTCGCACTCGGAGTGCTTGACCACGGCTGCCTGGATTCTACGAGTTAAGAATTACGACGTGGTGCTTGTGTGTACACTTGGGTGAGCGTGAGCTGCTGCTTTTGGTTTCGCTGCACCAATGAAGTCTGGAGCAAGTCTCAACACGTCACCACGCCGCGCTGTATATCTCTGGCTTCAAGATTGTCACGACCAACACACGACAGCAATAGTTGAAAAGGCCAATATGGCGGCCGAGAAGAACAAGCCTATCGGATATATACTTCAGTCTGATTCAGGGCAGAAAACAGCGCTGGATTCTAAGGCCCGTATTCACAAACGCTCCTTCACTCACGGGCTCCCCTCGACTTGACGAAGTCAAGGCGGAGCGTGCTCCTCCACTCAAGGAGCCGATGTGCTTCATGAACGCTACTCGAGGGCTCTTTCGCCAAGGGCCGACTCGAGAAACGCTCCTTCATTTGGCTTTTGTAAGACGCATCTGGTAGCGAGGATATGTGATAAAATACCACATTAAATAACAAAAATTTAGGTTGAAACACTTTGGATAGGTTGAAAAATTGTCGGCTGTCACTAAATGTGAACGGTGGAAGTAATAAGCGAGACTTCAAATAGTATAAGCTAGTTTCGAATCAGGCAGGCGCCATATTAGCCAAGCCACGCCAGAGCCGAAGCCACCAGGATTGGATGCCGGTTTTGCGAAGACTCGTTTCACGCGTGAACGAAGTTTTGTTGCATTTTGTGTCATGGTGCCGTAGTGACGAACGGTGCAATGTCTCTCAACGACGACCGTGGCGTTGCGCGTGACGGCAGGAAGACCACCGCAACGCGGTTCGTGGTCACGCGTGAGGAGCGTGAACTGCTTGTCAATCTGGTGACGCGGCACAAGGCAGTTATCGAAAACAAGAGAACTGACGCGCTCGACAAGCGCGCTAAGGACAGTGCCTGGGAAAAGCTGACGAGCGAATACAACAGCCAACCAGGCATTCGTCGCGTTACGGGGGCACAGCTGCGTAAGTTGTGGGACAATGAAAAGTCCAGGTGGAAGAAGAAGCAGTCAGAGGAAAACGAAACTTGTATGCCACAGGCACGTTTACGTTTGTTTACTACTCTAAACGGGGAGTTTTCGAATAGCACTAAGCTAGCAGGCCTCGTGGGCGTAGCGTTTACGTATGGGGGTCATATATAAGTGTTCGAACTGCGTCTCTTGCGTAAGCTTTCCGAAAACGCCCTAATGAGGGCATGGGTTCCGCTCTGAAATATATGTGGTAAATAAATGGGTGCCTGCAAGAATTGTGCGAATCATGGGCGTGCACAGGTTTCTTCTTAAGGGGAAGGGGGTGATGGGTTTTCGCTTGCAGAAGCATTTTTTTAAATAGCATCACGTCGTCACCATTCATATTTTTTTCGGCAAAATCTTCTTGCACTTTTTGTTCACCATCGGGTGCCAAGTGTGTCATTTTATTTTGAAATAAGAAATGCTTTTGCTCAGTTTGAACGTGCTTTGCACTCTTTATACATATATTTTATATATAAGTGCGTGTTTTGGTTTCTTTGTCAGTATTTCTGTGTATTTTTGTAGGACATCTTTTTTTCTCTAACTTAAATCACTGTGCAGTTTTTCTTTTAATTTCTTTTCTTGTATTTACTGATGTATTTTTCTCTATTTACTTTGTACTAGCCCCTCTTACTCGATTCCGTATTGGGCTCTGTAAGGTTTGATGAATAAATAAATAAATGGGTAGTAGTAGTAGTACAATAAGTAGTTATCTGTGCACCATGAATTTTCGCTTCCTATTTCTCTCGCATATGCGTTGTCTTCCTTAAGCACTTTCTTTGTGCTGTCACTTGAAATTTCAATGTATCCACGTAACAACATTTTCGCACCTTAGGGGGCGGGCCATCTACCTGCGGGCCAATGAGCCCCTCATTGGCGCTTGTTGGAGCGGTGGCATCACACATGGGGACACGGCTCCAGAACCCGCATGACAGTGATGGAGTCCACCTCAATCAGCCAGTGCTTTCTTTATCGCCGTCGCGGATTTTCGAGAGGATGCTCACTGGTAGCCAAGGCAACAGGGAAGAGCTGCTTGGTAAAAGACGAATGGGCAAAAACTGTCAGATTGCATCAACTTATGCATATTGCAATCAACTTGTGCTTACGCAATATTGCATCAACTTATGCATGTATACAATGTGCGAAGTATTGCGTTCGAATGTTGTTTAGTTTTGTGACCAATGCCACTGTTCATACAATTTGCATATGCATTTTACTAAAGTTTACGTGTACAAATAATTCTCATTCTCATGTCAAGAACATGCCATGGTGTTAACAGAAAGAAATGCTATGATAAGCCTACTATTACTCTTTTAAAAAGTTCCTAGCATAATTTGACGTGGTTTCGCAAGTACTTGTGTGACATATACAGATACATTTCACATCATGGGTGGCCTTCTAATTAGCCCAACTTTGGAATTGTATTTCAACTTTGTTTTTTGTGTGCAGATGCCCTTTTCCCAGCGCCAGTTCCCGGCAGGAAGAGGCTGAATAGTCCACGAGCTAGTACTCTTCATTTGCCAGGGATAGAATTCACCAATTGATTCAATATTTTTGCCACAACTGAAGTTCATATTCGTGAAGGACAGTCACTTTCTTGATTGTGTTTGTGTCTGATACCGTATGCATTCACATGAAGTATCTGTCACTATGTGTGATTACTGGTAAGGGGCTTGTATGTTTGCAGAGTGACGGTGTTGCATGCCACCAGCTCACATTATTCATTTTCATATTTACAACTGTTATTATTTTTATATTTCCATCACGTACCGATTTGTTGAAAATGTCGCGTGCTCACGTAAAAGCATGAAAACACACAAATATCTGTGCCTGTACCGTAAAGAGGCTTTTCTGATTACCTCGTATGCCAGCACAGCACCAGTTCTGCTTCTTTTGTATGTGCAGACACTACCAATGTCATGCCATGGCCAGCTGTTGGAGTCACCAAGAGCTATGGGTTTGCCGACATCGGGAGCACAGGCGCCGCTAGTCATAAGGCCCAAGTGCATGCAGCTATAAAAGTGCTGGCGACATGGCTTCTCGGGTTGTGTGACTAACATAAAAGAGGAATATTGAAGATAAGTTATTTCTACAGTTTTATGTAAAATTACACCTGCCTTTTGCATGAAGTATGTGGTTAACGTATATCACACACTTCAGAAAGAGGATGTGGGTAAAGGTATTTTAAATAAAATGCTTCTGAGGTATTCCACTGTAAAGCTCTCTTAGCTACTGCCATAGCGATATTCAGGTTGGACAGAACAGTATTATGAATTATCTGTGCAAGTAACAGGCCGGGCATGACCCGGATAAACTGCCACACTTCTCTTTTACTTGCAGGCCTGATGCGTGATATAAAACGTGCATGTATTTGTACGTGCAGCAGCATCTAACAGTCATGCTGACAATGCTTACACGTGTTACGTTTCCCTACCTTATGCAATTGTATTGTGTGTGTGCAGACGAGACAATTCAGCCACAACTGCGACCGAGCGAGGGTGCTGGTTCCCCCGGACCTCAGACTACACAGTCACCCACGGAAGGTGCTTGCGCAAGCTGTCCCTCTCACACATTGACAGTAGTTGCTCCTGGAAACGAGAAGTCACAAAAAACAGCAGTAGCTCCAGAAGAAAATGGGGAAAATTTGGTTGGTGCAGGAGAACGCCAACGGCCGAAATCAACGCGAAGCCGCCTAGCAGCCATAGAGCGTGTGCCTACCCCAGAAGTTGCGGCCCGAATGGAGGCACTGAAAACTGATGAGCAGCGCAAGGCACAGCTGCATGCCCTAGAGCAGTGCTTGCGTAAGCAGCAGCTCTTGCACCAACGAAAAATGCACAGTATGCAAGTGCAGCGGGAGCAGGAGCTGCATAAAATGCAAGTGCAGCTGTTGGAGCAGCAGCTGGAGCAGCAAAAATGGCACTTCAAAATCAAGCGCCAGAAGCTCCTTTTTCAATTACAGGAAAAACAGCAGCAGCGCATAGAAACCCAGCTGGAACAAAAATAAAGCTTGTGTGCAATCTCACACACCTGATGCTTTTAAAAGACATCTGAGACAGCTCCATGAGTGATCAAAAAATTTATTGTTGCGAGTCGGCAACGATGAAAAGAAAACCTAAAACGTGACGAATTCAGGAACTTTTCAGCATGCTCCAATATGTGAACATGCATAGATTTCCCAATCTGAGGTTGTTGTTCTACTCAAAAGAACATATTACACAATTTATTCATTAGGCGAGGTAAATGCACGAGTAATCAGCCGCATTTGGCATCGAGATCCGAGTAGGGTGTCGGCTTGGTTCGCCACAGCAGGCTGCTGCCGCCTCAAGTGTTGTGGGATAATTACAGGTGGTGGTTCTGCGATTGCTGTAGGACTGCAAGGTTGTGTAGGGCAGCACAGGCCGTTGTAATGACGGCGGAGCACTCCACCAAGTTTTGTAGCCCCATGTCTAAACACGGGAAGCGACGTTTCCACATGCCAAAGGCCCGCTCGATCGTGTTTCTAGTGCGCATGTGAGCTGCTTGATACCAATGCAAAGAAATCAATGTCATGTTACTGTATGAACTTACACTTATTAAACGATACACTTGAGTATTACAACCATGCCACTAGTCAAAACTGTTTCTGCTAATATATCGATTCTCTTGTAACGTGGGATATAATCAGTGCACAAAAAAAAACGATACATGCACCACGCTTATTGTAATAAAAGACTTCAAGCGCGATAGGTAGCACACACGTACATGTTTCGTTCTGGAGATGAAAATTAAAGGGTTATACAGCCGTACTAACCGGCTCTCAGGGCTGTACGGTGGCGGGTCAGCCATCGGGGTCATGAGAAATGACGTGCAGGGGTATCCAGCATCGCCAACTAGGAGACCCGGTACTCGTTTTTTTTTACGTACAGAACACGTGCACGACTGTTGTCGAAAATACGACTGTCATGCACTGATCCCGGCCAGCTCAAAACGACGTCGTATAATTGTAGCTTTGGCCCTGCAATCACCTATTGAAAATGCAATACATGTTATACTGTGTTTTTGTGCTGAAGCAGCCGTCTACTACGAACGTACTTAATGCCTGTATGATCTTGTTTCAGTGCAGTATATTCACTTTTGTTTCAGAGTGCAAAGCTACAGTCATGATAATTCAAAGCTATTCCATTTGTGGGCCAATATCAGCTGCATTCACAGGACAGGCGTCATCGCAGACACTCATGCAATATTTGACGCTGATCGGATCGCTCCGCAGCCAGCACTCGCACGAGAGGGGTGAATTACCACTGCAACAAAAACTTCAGTCCCCCCCTCCCACTGCACCCCTAGCATTGCAAATGCGACCTGGGCCTGCTCGCTCATCTCGCGAATTGCTTAGCGCGGACTGAAGGAGGACCGTGTGAGAACATGTGATGTTTGGTGTTGTAGTAAGCAATCCGTGGGTTTAAATCGCGATTTGGTCTTTCTTGTGAATACAGCTTTACTGGGTTGCAAACAAGCTAAACAAAATCATAAAAAAACGCCACGTTGTTACAATAGCTTGCACGGGGTTTTATCATCGAATAATCTACCATGAAGTTTTTTTGCTAATATGCAGTTTATGGAATGCCTCGTGCAGTGTTAATGTTGAATTACTACATCTTAGAAGTACTGCAAAGCTTTCAACGTTAGCAGCGAAGAATGAGCAAGTTACCTGAACATTTATGGAGAAGCAACCCTTCTGGTTGCGCTAAACTTCGCCATTAGGCCCACCAGGTGATTTGCTACGGACGTGGGTGCAATCAATGCACCCTTTCACACCGGGAAACTTGGTGATCCGGTAGGATTACACCATCGTCTCACGCAACCTGTCATCGGAGTTAGGGAAATTCACGACAGCCGAGAACAAGTGCTTCGCGATCAGCCGTGACACATGTTCCATGACGCGGCTCACCGTCGGCTTAGACACATTCACCAAGTCGCCCATCCCAACTTGAAAAGTACCCGCTCCATAAAAGCACAGCGTATTAAGAAGCTGCATCAGATGTGGAAGAGGGTGGCCACGCTTGCTGCAGCTCTCCTCAAATGGCAAGCAAACAAGTAGCTTCTTCACGCTGCTCTTGGTGAAGCGATAGCGCGCGAGAATTTCACTGTCTGTGAAGTGCTCCATGGGGTTCAACCGGTCTCTCAAATGTTGGCGTGGTATGCTTACACAGTCCTCTACGACGCCAAACAGCTCGTCGACGCGGAGAACATAATCGACGAACGACGCGTAGTCCGCCATGATACTTGGCTCGAGGGACGATTCAAGGTAGCTCGATCGCTTCCTTAGAAATCTCGAGGAAGTGAAGGAAGCGTTTCAAGTGAAGGGCGCTTTGTGAATGGAAAAACGCCACTTAAGGAGCGTTTCGAATGAAGGGTCGAATCAAGGAGCGTTTGTGAATACGGGGGTAAGGCAAGTAGGTTATCATTCTTTATTCTGTTCTACTTGTCGTGTGTGCGATAAGAATTGCGCTTGCCGGCAACGGGCTCGGTGGTGTTGTATATCGCACGCACGAAATGCATCGCCAAGGTCCGCTTCGGCGTCTGCATTTCCATTGTGTTTTTCGACCACCTGGAAATTGGCCGCAATTGCTGTTGGCCTCCCGTACGCTCGCTCATCGAGTGCTCGCCTGTCTTCGCCGCCGCGATGAGCTTCGGGCTGGCGATATTGGGCTGAGACATCGTCGCTGTGTTGGGAGTCGTCGAAAACACGTTACGGGTTCTCGTAAAGAACTTGGTTTGTAGTATGTCGCGCGCTGTAAGTGCACCAGCCTGGGCTGGCGGGGCTTTCGCTAGCGTCGGAACTCACTGAAAATTCGTCGCTATTACAGTTGGCTTTCCCGCCAGTCGGTCACAAGAAGCTCGGCACCGTGCACTGGCCGCGGCGGCGGCCCGAAATTGTGGAAAAGGGTCGCATTACCGTCGATTTCTTCGGTGCTTGCTCCAAACTAGCTCGGCGCTGTTTGCGGCGCCGGCCAAGCGTACGCTCGCTTTCCCGTTCGAAGTTCGCCTGTGGCAGACACTCCGCGTGCAGCGCCGTGTTTGGTCTCGCGTTCGCTTGCTCTAGCTGAACGATGTCGCTCGCTTAGGACTCGCCGACTTGTTAGCGGCACGTTGGTTTGCGGAGTTATGACTTCGGCCGCCGCTCCTAAGCTGTTGCGCTACGGGGATGCGGATCGAAATGAGTCTTTGACGATGTTTGACATCACGGTCAAATTAACATGTCATATCTCACATATGTTTTCATTTCACCTTGCACGTATTTCTCATATGCATTTGTAGGCATCCTCTGTCACGTGTGACTCACTATTTTACATACTTATTGTGCAGCCGTGGGCACACACCGTGCTGAAGACTGTGCGCTGACGTCTGCGATGCCCGTCATCCATCTCTTTCGTCACAGCAGCTTCAGGAGGACTGTGCGAGATGTGAAGGTAAAGTTATTTGTTTGTCATATTTTAACACTTGTTTTTATATTAACGTGCACGTACTTGTCATATGCGTGCATCTTCATCTTCTGTGCCGTGTGCCTTACAATTTTTACTATATTATTGCACGTGCAGCCGTGGGAACACAACAGGCAGAAGGCTGCGTGCGCTGGCGTCTGCAATGCCCCGTCGAAGGAGCTCCCCAACGAGTGAAAGAGATTTGACAACGAGACTGCACTTGTACACTTCACCATGAATTCACTTAAAAGAATGGGGAGAGTTCAAGTGTATGTAGAAAAATAAAAGATTTCAATGTCTCACTTTTGTCTTTTGTTGTTGCCGTGACTGTGAAAACAGTTACACATAGGTGGCTAACTACTTTTTCGCGTGTTCTTTTCTGCGAAATTTGTTTCTCACTGTGCAGAAAAACGGGCTAAAAAGTATTAGACCTGGTGGAAAATAAACAAAAAACAACGTTTGAACTGGGGAAAAAAGTTCATCTGATTGGAGTATCTGAGTGGATCAACCTTTCGTCCGGCAAGGTGCAACTGAGAGGACTAACGGTTGCCCGGTAAGGTGTAAATTTGGGGATTGACAGTTGCGCTATAAGGTGCAAATGTGAAGACTAAATATTAGTCCTTAGGGGAGAACTGTGGGACTAACGGTTACACACTAAGGTGTAAATATGAGGACTAAATGTTAGTCCCTTAAGAGGACTGACTGTTATACCCAGTGCCGTTAGTCCTCAAAGGAATTAATAGTTGTGGCAGCTTCATTAGTCCCCAAAAGGACGAACCACACACCCTTTTAACACCCCTTTGCCTTAGAGCGTATCACAGAACGTTCCTGGATGCTTCGGATGCGTCAGCACGTACGTGGGTGGGGGTGGGGCCGGTGGAGGCGTTGCCGTGGATGGTGTAGGCGTTGCCAAATCCGATGGAGAGGTGGCCGTGGGATCAGTCCCGTGTTTCACCACGGAAACTCCAGTTTGACGACCACTGCGGAGCTCCGTTGTATGGCACTTTGTACCCAGCACCTCCACTAATTTGTTACGGGGATTACAAGCACACGGAAGAAAGAAATGAGTGTATTACCAATATTTACAAGTAAGTGAGAACCACCAGGGCTGCCAGCCTTCCGCGCGCCAGTCCGCTTCTTCCTCTTCGATTAGTCTACGACGGTGGGGCCATGCCCACTGCCTCGTAACAGTATCGTCAACTCCTCGTCCTCACAAAGGTTTTCGTCCTCATATGCTCCCTCACTATCCAGCATCCGCCAGTCAGGAATGCTTGACTGGCAGAGCGTCTGGGTGATCATGCTAGTGAAGGTGATGATGATGATGATGATGATGTTTTCATTATGTCTCTTGCCCGCTCAGGAGATATGCCAAGAATTGAGGATGTAAAATTTATGGTCTTTCAAATGATACCTAATCCTAACAGAAGGAGAATAAAGCACACCTAAATACAGAAAGACTGTAACAATTTCTTTTTGCTAATCTGGCCAGACAGAATAATATATATCTTGAATAGAAATTGCAGTAATTTCGAACACTCGGTGC